TAGCAGTCAAGTGCTTTAGCCACTATGCTACCAGAGCTCAGGTTCATAGGGAAAGCTTTACTTTAGACAACAATTCATGGTAATGAATGTGGAATGGTAGAGTTAAAGAAACACAATTTTTCAAACCCTAATGAAACTATTGATCCAGGTAAGGATTATCAATTGGCATTAAGATGACTAGCTGAATGAGTGATAGAAAAACAGATATTCTATTTCTGCCAAAGTAACAACACACAGACTACTTTCTAGTCACAGAAGGGAAAAGTCACAATTATGCATTTAAACTTTTATACTGTCATCATCCCAAATCAGCATTCAATCTTTGCACTGGTAAAAGTGGATAAACCAAATATTATATCTTTTAATGTGAGGCAAAATTTACAATATCAACTGTGACATATGCTAGTCAAAAATTTCATTTTAATTTGTCAAGCATTTAGATATAACTACCAGTTGCACAGAAATACCAAGGCTAAAGGAATGCTAGACAACATGGCAAGGAAGGGACCAGACAAAGCAATAAAATAGGGCATTTGGCAAGACAACTGGCTCAGTCTCTTGAACCAGTCAATATGATAAAATATGTTGTGTTGTTGTTATGTGCCGTCAAGTCAGACCTGACTCATAGCGACCCCTCCTTGGGTTTCCGAGGCAGTATCACTACGGAAGTAGATTGCCCAACCTTCCTTCCAAGGAGTGGCTGATGGGTTGATAAAATATGGTATGTGTTAAATGAAAAAGCTGCTTTAAGGGACACAGTGATCAAATGTAATATGTGGTCTGGATTAAATGGTAGTTTGAATAAATTAGTTATTGAGGTCATTTGGAGTCAACTGTGGAAACGTATGTTCTATGCATTAGATGAGATGAGTTTTCCTTTTGGTCTTCCATTTACTACATTTCTTCTTATTTTGTGTATGTGTCTAAATGCCGATGTTTTCTATACTGTCTTTTCTTCTCTCTCTACTCTTACTATATTGAGATTCATATGTAGTTATGACACTTAAATGTACATCTTCAGCCAAACCTTTGCTCTGAGCTCCAGAATCATACATTCAACTGCCCAGCTGACATCTCCACTTAGATGTCTAGCAACTTGTAAAAAAAGGTGCTGCTGTCAGAGTTCCATATCATATTAAGTGATACCATCATTTTACCTAGTTTCTTGAGTTTAAAGGACCCCTCTTCTGCACCCCTTCTCATATCTAATTAACCACCCAAGTTCTATTGATTCAACCTCCTAAATTCATTCAAATCATGCAGTCAACCTAAGGTGAGGTTTAAGGAGACAGTAATATGCTAAGAGAAGAATCTGAGTACGTTGTGAGAGACAGATTCAAGGAGGCCCAGAGCAGACAAACCAATGTTTACAAAGCTCCTAGGGAACTGCCTTCCACGTGGTGAAATCTCAAAAAAATTCATTTACACACACACACACACACACACAAGTATATGTTTATATTATCTATTTACATATTTTTGGTTGTTGCTCCTAGCTTGCCTTGACTGGAAATTACCTTTCCACACAGTCTGAGAGTCTGGAAGTCAAGTTGGATGCAGGAGCATCATGTCCTCCAATAGCATAGAGCAATCCATTCCAGGTAGTTACTCCTACTCCACCTCTCCTTTTTGACATCTGTGCACAGAGTGTCCATTTATTGGTATGAGGATCAAAACACTCTACTGATTTGAGACAAGAACTTCCATCACGACCACCAACTGCATAAAGTCTATAAAAAGAACAAATGAAATGATAAGTAAGACAGCATTTTTATTATACTTAAGATAAAGAGTTATACTTACTGTATTTCATCAGGTCTAAGACACACTGTCAATTAATGTACCATTATTAAAGAAGCTAAGCTACCAATTAAATGACACATAAATATCACACACACATACAGTAAAATCTGTGAGACCCAGAACTCGATGGGACTGCCTTGCATTTCTGGATCCCTCCCAAGTTTTCTGCCTTTGACAGGATGCAGTCTTACCACTTTTCTGTCAATTATTTCAATAGAAAATATTTGAGTTTTTCTTCTCTGAGAGGTCTCTGCTTTACACAAGTTCCACCTTTTGCAGGTTTACATAAACACACACACATACACACACACTCCTATTCCTCACTTATTGACAGGTTAGGCACTCATTTTCTGACATTTCACATTTATAACTTGAAAAAATTCTTAGGTGGCACCTCTGATGGTCTGGGCCCCACACAGGGCCACACCTGGGCCTGGGGCACCCTCCATGGGCCACTTCAAATGATATACCAGAGGCTCCAGTGACAACCTGGTCACAAGAGGGATGGTGGCTGACTGGCCACGTGACACCTTCTCTGGGTTCATCTGCGATGTCTTGGTCCAGCCACAGGGGTGCAGGGCAATGGAAGGATGACATGAGGTTGCAAGTGGGCAGAGGAAGGATGGCGAGGGCCTGAAGGTACCAGGGAGGTTGGTGAGGGGAGGTGGGATGGAGGCAACAGGGAAGGGGGCTGTGCAGGGCTGTGGGCCAGGGCAGACAAAGGACAAGTGATATCTCTGCTTAGGGGGGCATGCTGAGAGGCAGTGGGTGGTGGGCAACACCCACCCCCACTGCCAAACTCCACGAGCTCCTGGTGGTGTGGAAGATATGGTGGTGAAGGGGGAACAGTTGCCCTGTGCACATCCTGAGATGTGCCAGGGGCACCTGAAAGGCAGCAAGCAACTGGGTTGAGGGGGGTTATACTGGCACTGAAGACAAGGTGCACCCCACGACTCTTACATAACGCTGATGTCACATAATAGCCTGGTCTTTGAAGCCTAACCATGTCGATAAATGAGGAGTGGGTATCTGTGTACATGTGTGTGTGTGTATATATAAATATATATACACTCACACATATATCATACCATGTATCACTTTTGCATATACATAAGAAAACAAGCTGCACTTGAAGGCAATGACAACTATTTCACAGCTGCCATCTGCTTGACAGCAATTGGCACCATCAATTTGTAAGATGCATCCCAATTTAGGAGATATTAAAACATGTGGCTTCACTGCCTTGGAAACCCAAAGGGGGTTGCTATGAGTTGGAATTGAGTAGTTGATGGCAGTGAGTTTGGTTTTTTGGTTTGGTGCATATAAAAGCTATGTTTATATTTATTTGTAGTCTACTCAGTGTGCAACAGTGTAATGAAAAAGTTTAAAATATTGTGAGAATTACCAAAATGTGACAAAGAGACACAAAGTGAGCACATAGCGTTGGAAAAATGGTGCCAACAGAATTCCTCGATGCAGGTTGTCATAAACCTTCAGTTTATTAAAAAGCAGTATCTGCAAAGTACAATAAAATGAGGTGTGCCTGTTATCTAAAGCAGGATGTGGTTATGAAAGAAAGAAGTGGCGTAGTGCCTAAGGCACTTGACTGCTAACCAGAAGGCTATCAGTTCAAACCCACCAGCCACTCCTCGGAAGGAAGGTTGGGCAATCCTACTTCCGTAGTGATACTGCCTCGGAAACCCAAGGAGGGGTCGCTATGAGTCAGGGCCGACTCGACGGCAAACAACAACAACAACAACAAAGCTGTAATACGATTATACACAAATTATGCCCAGTAAAAATGGAATGGATAATGGGTGTACGGAGAATGAAGAAAGGAGAGTGAGGACTGGAATAGGTTCTCCATGGGTGATTTCTGAGCAAGTTTCAAGGATGACTGAGTTTTTTAGGTAGGAAATTGGGAGACTTCCCATGCATTTTAAGATAGCTAACATGGGTATTAAATGTTACCAGAAGTATGAATCAAAATATATTTTTACAAATAGGTTCGTTCGATTGGAGTGCAATATGCTGTAAGTGGAGGATGGAAAAGAGTCTACAGAGGTGGGCAGAGGCAAGGTCACAAAGGTTAGATAAGCTGCTGAAAGGCTGAACTGAAAAAGATTCAGAAGGTACAAATGGATGTGCTTTTGGGGGAAGATACTGGAGGAGTTTATCATAAATCTTAGATTTTTAAGAGATCAACAGAGTCCCATCAACTACAATAAAAATGTAAGAGAAAGAGTAAGTTTGGGTGTAAGGTATGTGGAGTTGAAGAAGCATGGTATTTGTTTTTAATAAGGGCAAAACTTGAACAAATTGATTAATGAGATGAAGGGAAAAGAATCATGAGAAAGAAAATATAAGAGGCAGAAGGAATATTGACAAGGCAAGCTCCTAAAGTTGGGGGAAACCGTTAAAAGAACAGACTTGGTCTTTGATGTACCATTTTCTGACGTGAAAAGAAGGGCTATATGACTGTGGAAATAGTTAACTTTATAAAGGCTAATGGGGTTTAGAGGAAGGGAAACGTACATGACATTGAGCTTACCTGAGCCAGTGTATTTGTTTTTTCCTATAAGGAATAGGCAAGATTCTCAATAGAAAGTAAGGAGGTAGAGAACACAGCTTAACACATTTAGTTTATTTGTGTTTTAAATAGAACTTTAAATATTTCCTTACTTTCCACCTAATACTGCCACACCTACTGTGCTCCTGGGGGTGGACATAGTGGCAACAAAATTCCACTGGCGAGCTTGAGGGTCCCATCTTTCCACTGTATTCAGATAGCTCCAGCCATCATGCCCTCCTACTGCATACATGGGACCTTCCAATACAGCCACACCTACAAGGAGACAGGAAAGAAGTAATGGCTTAGACTTCCTGCTAAGTCTTAATGAACACATTTTAAATGAATTTAATGAACGCTAAATAGGCAAATTTAACTAAGCAAAAAGTTATGGTTATGAGTATTTGCCTTCCTCACTGCTCTTCTGAGTGGGTGGGTCATGCAGGTGGTATGAGAAACAGCACTGTGGTTACTGCCTTAAAAGGTTTAAAAGCAGTATTTGAGGTCTAACCATGTGTCCAAGAGTAAAACTCAAGACTGAAAAATTCTAAATAAAGGAGAGATTTATTGAGAAATAAAAAGCAACTCGAATTGGGGAGGCAGTAAGTCTTACAGGTAAGATTAGCAGCTCCACTGAGGCACAGAGTGACATGGGTTTATAAAGGCAAAAACCACAGGCAGGTGGGGTACAGCTATGACTCTCGTCACTGGTAAGCAAATGATCAGGAAACTGAAGGGGGGTTGTGCCAGAAATAGGGCATTGTCTCAGATAGGTACATTACAGATATGTGGTTGGGTAAGGATTAGTTCAGATGGGGAACCTGGTGTTTTTCTGAGAATCAGCTGACCATCAGCTGAGTGGGGGTACAGCTGTTTCTTGGAAATATGAAAAGAAATTTAACAGAACATGCTTAGAAATGAGTTAAGATGGAGTCACTCAGAGAAATGGGTCAAGATGCAGTCACTCTTCCTCCTTTGATATGAGTCCAGGCTAGGACAAAAGCTTGTTTGGATTATTTCCTTTGCCACATGGAAAGTTTGTTTGTTTTTAGTTTCTTCTTGAGAATATACACAGCAAAACAGACACCAATTCAATGATTCCACATGTACAATTTAGTGACACTGATTATATTCTTTGAGTTGTACAACATTCTAACCCTCCTTTTCTGAGTTGCTTTCTCCCCCATTAACACATACTCACTGTTTCCTAAGGTTTCTGTCTAATCTCTTCAAGGCCCTCTGGTCCAGTTTGGTCCCACATAGCTCTTAGAAGAGCCTAGTGCCTGAGGCAGGTATTCTTTACTAGTTAGCTTAACTATTGTTTGGTTGTAAGAAGACTTCAGGGGATATTCTTGGTTTAAGGTTTAACAATTATCTCAGGGCAAGAGTTTCAAGATTTCATCTAGCCTCCTTGACTCCAGAAGGTCTGTAATCCATGAGAATTTAAAGTTCTCTTCTGCATTTTCCTCCTTTTGACCAGGACTCTTCTATAGAATCTTTGATCAAATGTTCAGTAACAGTAGCCAGGCATCATCCATTTCTTCTGGTCTCATGGCAAAGGAGACAGTTGTACATGGAGGCAATTAGCAACATTCCATATCCTCCTTCTATTCCTGACTCTTGTTCCCCTGCTGCTTCAAGTGAACAGTGACCAATTCTTATGCCTTGGATGGCCACCTGCATCAGGTACTATGCAATGAAGTAGGAGGTAGAGCAGAAGCTAAGGAGAGTTTATAAAACTATACCACATGAACATATTACTAGTACTTAATATACTTTTCAATAATTTGGGTTTACACTATATTTGAAACGCTTAATTCAAATTAATGAGATTTTACTATAGTTAGATTTGATACCACAATCCATTAGTGTGATTCATCACAAGAGAACTGAGCCAAATTCATTTGTTCATTTATTCAACAATCTACTGAATTTCTACTAAGCGCCAGGTACTTAATGGAACAAAACAGGTAAAAGTGCTGTTCTCCTGGACCTTGTATTTTCATGGGGAAAATAGCCACAAAAAAATACTTCCAATATCGTTAAGATTGCACTTGAGCAGAAGTCTGAATGAAGGTAGGAAACTAAACATACAGATGTCCACGGAAAGAGAAAGTGAGAATGAGGGAGTAGCATGTGCCTGAGGACAGCTTAGTGTGTCTGAAGTCCAGCAAAGAGGCCAGTTTGGTTGAGCAGAGTGAATGACAGGGAGAGAGTAAGTGATGGGAGAGTCAGACCACACAGGGCTGTCAGGGCTACTGCATTTTATTCTGAATGAGATGAGTGTCAGCAGAAAATCTTGAGAAGTAAGATACAGTCATAACCAGGTGACACACAAATATGTATCACTTGAGAGCTGAAAAGAAAATCTGTGAAACAAATATATTTCCATTTGTGAAATCATGCCCAAATGAGATCTAAATAATCTTCCTTTATGCATGATCCAAATCAACATATATTTGTTACATTATATTTTGCTCTAATATAATACACAACATAGACATGCACATACATAGAGGCACACCTCAGAGATATTGCAGATTTGGTTTCAGATCACTGCAATAAAGCTACTATTGCAATCAAGCAAATATCGCAATAAAGCGAGTCATGAAAATTTTTTGGTTTTCCATTGCATGTACAAGTTATGTATATACTTTACTTTGGTCTATTAAGCATGTAATAACATTCTGGTGGCGTAGCGCCTAAGGCACTTGACTGCTAACCAGAAGGCTGGCGGTTCAAACCCACTAGCCACTCCTCAGAAGAAGGTTGGGCAATCTACTTCCGTAGTGATACTGCTTCAGAAACCCAAGGAGGGGTCTCTATGAGTCAGGACTGACTCCATGGCAGTGAGTTTGGTTTTTTTTGTCTTTGGTTTAACTTTATGAAAAGCTTCAAAATACTGTGAGAATTACCAAAAGGTGACACAGAGACATAAAGAGAATACATGCTGTTGGAAAAATGGTGCTGAGAGACTTGCTCTACACAAGGTAGCCATAAAACTTCAACTTGTAAAAAACATAGTATCTGAGAAGTACAATAAAATGAGGTAGCCTTGTATGGAGCTGTATGTATGTATATATATTTTTTCAAAGTTACTGTTTAGGGGGTTGGAGTAGATGGACCCTTATTTCCTTTGATTGAAAAAAATTATATATATTTACCTTATACAGAATAAATTTTAATACAATAAATAATAAATAAAATACAACTATTTTAAACTTTCTCCAAACTGTGTGACAAAAACCAAACCAAACTCACTGCTGTCGAGTTGGATCTGACTCACAGTGACCCCTCCTTGGGTTTCCGAGGCAGTATCACTACAGAAGTTGATTACCCAATCTTCTTTCCGAGGAGTAGCTGGTGGGTTTGAACCGCCAGCCTTCTGGTTAGCAGTCAAATGCCTTAGGCACTATGCTACCAGAGCTCCTAAACTGTGTGACAGGCTGAAAATATGGCCACAAATTCTTCCTGTTCCTGCATTCATTCTACTTACCATGGGACTCTGTAGCTGCCCCTGTCAAAGAGGAGTTGCTTTCTCCACTCTTTGAATCTGGGCTTGCCTGTGACTTGCTTTGCCCAGAGGGACATTAGCACACATGATGCAAGCAGAAGACTGAAAAGTGTGTATTATGGCTTGCCTTCTTTTGCTATTTCTGAAGCCCTGTAACTAGCACCATGTGCAGAAACCTGGGCTAGCCTAATAATGAAAGACGTGTGACCAGTTGCCAATGTCAACTATATTCACCAGACATCTAAGTAAGACCATCCTAGATCATTCAATAGACCTGCCAGCTGACCAGATTCATGCAAAAACCCAGCAGAAATCAACCAAGGCAGATGGGATCCTAAGACTCACCCAACTGATCCAAAGATCCATGAGCTAAATATAAATAGCTGGTTGTTGTTTAAAGCCACTAAGTTTTGGAGTAGTTTGTTATGTAGCAAAATCTGGCTGATACTCATACATTTCAAGCCCTCATCTAATTTTATTCTACCTTCTTCACTCTCATCAAACAATTCTCTCTCCTATTTTATTAAGAAAAGTCACTTGATACAAGATCTCCACAACATCTTCTATCCATTTCAGAATGCACCATTAGTTCCTTGAAGGTTGAGATAAGTGTTTTCCTCTTCTTTGTATACCTCTAGAGCAATGTCCATGGCACACAGTAGATGCTCAATAAATGCCTGCTCAGTGAATACTGAATGAAAGATTGATAGTCTCTGTCATTACACTCTCAGTGCTACCTCAAGATTTTTGTGGGTTATTCTGGTTACCTAGTACTGCTCTGACAAGAATCTACCACAAATGGGATGGCTTGAACAAACAGGAGTTCATTCTCTTAACAGTTTGGGAGGCTAGAAGTCCAAGTTCAAAGTGCCAGGCTCTAGGGGCTGTGACAAAGCCCCTAGACCTTGAGCTTCAGCTCTGCCTCTTGCTCCTATCCCACTGAAGCTAGAGGCATCTCTTCACTCAGGCAGCTACTGGCTGCTGAGGCTAACAAGCCCAATGTCAATAAATAAAATGGCACAGTCCTGATGTTACCAAACCACACAGAAGGCCATTGATTCAAGTCCACTGGAAGTCCCAGGATTGGCAAAGCATGGCATGCTGCTGAACAACGACTCAGCTACATGCAGGGTTCAAGCGAGCCATAAGCGAGAGATCATTCCCAAAGCTGCTGCTTACATATGGGAAGCAGATCACAACCCTAAAGCAGCTACTCAGCTGCTTACGGTAGATCCCACCATAGAGTTGATTACCATCTCATCATGGGGAATAACTACTACCAGCTGTCCAGCTACTCAACCAGGCCCAGCCAAGTTGACATACAATTTTAACTACCACATGGGTCATCTCTCATTTCTGCTTAAAAATCAAGGAAAAAGATAAAAACAATACTAAAGATTTTAAAATAAGCATTTTTTTCTACCTGGTATGGAATGTGAAAATGCTGTGGAAGCTTAACATGTAATATTATGTGCATGTGTGCATAGTTCTACTTACCAAGGCCATGTCTATGTGTGGACATAGGAGGCATCACACTCCACGTTTTTGTTTTAGGGTTGTAGCACTCTACTGTATTCAAAGTCTTCAGTCCATCTCTTCCTCCAACCACATACAGTTTGTCATCTAACACTGCAACACCAAACTGCAGCCTTCTCCCATTCATATTTGCTACAGGCGTCCACATATTTGTACGGAGATCATACTTCTCAATGCTTGTTGCACCTTAAAAGTAACATATAGAAATTATATAAATAAAAACTTCTTAGTATCGACAATACTTTCATTATATTCAGACAAGTTGCTGTATGATCTGGTCCTGTCTATGTCTTTAACCTCATCTCTAATTAATCTCTAAGGCATTCACCAGGCTCCAATATTTAAAGGTCAAGTGGGTAAGGATTATGTGGCAAAGGAGGCCTAGAAACCTGCCCTCAACCTGGACTGGCCGGCGGCCCCTCCCCGGCTGGGCACACTACAGTAATCCAGAAGGTATATTTCTGCAGATGATTAAATCAATTCAATCCTGACAAGGGAAAAACAACAACAACAACAACAAAGGAGGACTAGAAGCAACAGCCAGAAATGAGAGGATAAGCAGTGTCATGAAAGCCAAAAGAAAATCTTTCAAGCAGGCTGGACTTCTGCTGAGAGATCCCATAAATGATGACTAAAAAGTATTATTGGATTTAGCTGTATAGAAATCATTAATGACTTTAGGGAGTGTATCCTTATTGTGTGCGACACTGGTGGTTCAATGGTAGAATCCTTACCTTGCATGCAGGAGACCTGGGTTCAATGCCCAGCAAATGGCACCTCATGCACAGCCACCACCTGAGTATCAGCAGGGGCTTGAGTACTACTATGATGCTGAACAGCTTTTTTTTTTTTTTTT